CCAATCTTCTCAAAACTCTGGATTCTGATAGAGGGCCATGAGACTTAGACCTGAGTGCAAAAATGGAGGCTCTAGACCCTTCCAGAGCTGAGATATCGAAACTCAAAATTTCGACCCGAAAAAAAAAACGACAGTGTTACCCCTTACGTTTTTTTTTTTTGGGCGAAAAATTAAGTATCCCCAATCTTCTCAAAACTCTGGATTCTGATAGAGGGCCATGAGACTTAGACCTGAGTGCAACAATGGAGGCTCTAGACCCTTCCAGAGCTGAGATATCGAAACTCAAAATTTCGACCCGAAAAAAAAACGACAGTGTTACCCCTTACGTTTTTTTTTTTTTTGGGCGAAAAATTAAGTATCCCAATCTTCTCAAAACTCTGGATTCTGATAGAGGGCCATGAGACTTAGACCTGAGTGCAAAAATGGAGGCTCTAGACCCTTCCAGAGCTGAGATATCGAAAATCAAAATTTCGACCCGAAAAAAAAACGACAGTGTTACCCCTTACGTTTTTTTTTTTTGGGCGAAAAATTAAGTATCCCCAATCTTCTCAAAACTCTGGATTCTGATAGAGGGCCATGAGACTTAGACCTGAGTGCAACAATGGAGGCTCTAGACCCTTCCAGAGCTGAGATATCGAAACTCAAAATTTCGACCCGAAAAAAAAACGACAGTGTTACCCCTTACGTTTTTTTTTTTGGGCGAAAAATTAAGTATCCCAATCTTCTCAAAACTCTGGATTCTGATAGAGGGCCATGAGACTTAGACCTGAGTGCAACAATGGAGGCTCTAGACCCTTCCAGAGCTGAGATATCGAAACTCAAAATTTCGACCCGAAAAAAAAACGACAGTGTTACCCCTTACGTTTTTTTTTTTGGGCGAAAAATTAAGTATCCCCAATCTTCTCAAAACTCTGGATTCTGATAGAGGGCCATGAGACTTAGACCTGAGTGCAACAATGGAGGCTCTAGACCCTTCCAGAGCTGAGATATCGAAAATCAAAATTTCGACCCGAAAAAAAAACGACAGTGTTACCCCTTACGTTTTTTTTTTTGGGCGAAAAATTAAGTATCCCCAATCTTCTCAAAACTCTGGATTCTGATAGAGGGCCATGAGACTTAGACCTGAGTGCAACAATGGAGGCTCTAGACCCTTCCAGAGCTGAGATATCGAAACTCAAAATTTCGACCCGAAAAAAAAAACGACAGTGTTACCCCTTACGTTTTTTTTTTTTTGGGCGAAAAATTAAGTATCCCCAATCTTCTCAAAACTCTGGATTCTGATAGAGGGCCATGAGACTTAGACCTGAGTGCAAAAATGGAGGCTCTAGACCCTTCCAGAGCTGAGATATCGAAATCAAAATTTCGACCAGAAAAAAAAAACGACAGTGTTACCCCTTACGTTTTTTTTTTTGGGCGAAAAATTAAGTATCCCCAATCTTCTCAAAACTCTGGATTCTGATAGAGGGCCATGAGACTTAGACCTGAGTGCAACAATGGAGGCTCTAGACCCTTCCAGTGCTGAGATATCGAAACTCAAAATTTCGACCCGAAAAAAAAAACGACAGTGTTACCCCTTACGTTTTTTTTTTGGGCGAAAAATTAAGTATCCCCAATCTTCTCAAAACTCTGGATTCTGATAGAGGGCCATGAGACTTAGACCTGAGTGCAACAATGGAGGCTCTAGACCCTTCCAGAGCTGAGATATCGAAACTCAAAATTTCGACCCGAAAAAAAAACGACAGTGTTACCCCTTACGTTTTTTTTTTTTGGGCGAAAAATTAAGTATCCCCAATCTTCTCAAAACTCTGGATTCTGATAGAGGGCCATGAGACTTAGACCTGAGTGCAACAATGGAGGCTCTAGACCCTTCCAGAGCTGAGATATCGAAATTCAAAATTTCGACCAGAAAAAAAAACGACAGTGTTACCCCTTACGTTTTTTTTTGGGGCGAAAAATTAAGTATCCCCAATCTTCTCAAAACTCTGGATTCTGATAGAGGGCCATGAGACTTAGACCTGAGTGCAACAATGGAGGCTCTAGACCCTTCCAGAGCTGAGATATCGAAACTCAAAATTTCGACCCGAAAAAAAAAACGACAGTGTTACCCCTTACGTTTTTTTTTGGGCGAAAAATTAAGTATCCCCAATCTTCTCAAAACTCTGGATTCTGATAGAGGGCCATGAGACTTAGACCTGAGTGCAACAATGGAGGCTCTAGACCCTTCCAGAGCTGAGATATCGAAAATCAAAATTTCGACCCGAAAAAAAAACGACAGTGTTACCCCTTACGTTTTTTTTTTTTGGGCGAAAAATTAAGTATCCCCAATCTTCTCAAAACTCTGGATTCTGATAGAGGGCCATGAGACTTAGACCTGAGTGCAACAATGGAGGCTCTAGACCCTTCCAGAGCTGAGATATCGAAAATCAAAATTTCGACCCGAAAAAAAAACGACAGTGTTACCCCTTACGTTTTTTTTTTGGGGCGAAAAATTAAGTATCCCCAATCTTCTCAAAACTCTGGATTCTGATAGAGGGCCATGAGACTTAGACCTGAGTGCAACAATGGAGGCTCTAGACCCTTCCAGAGCTGAGATATCGAAACTCAAAATTTCGACCCGAAAAAAAAAACGACAGTGTTACCCCTTACGTTTTTTTTTTGGGCGAAAAATTAAGTATCCCCAATCTTCTCAAAACTCTGGATTCTGATAGAGGGCCATGAGACTTAGACCTGAGTGCAACAATGGAGGCTCTAGACCCTTCCAGAGCTGAGATATCGAAACTCAAAATTTCGACCCGAAAAAAAAACGACAGTGTTACCCCTTACGTTTTTTTTTTGGGCGAAAAATTAAGTATCCCCAATCTTCTCAAAACTCTGGATTCTGATAGAGGGCCATGAGACTTAGACCTGAGTGCAACAATGGAGGCTCTAGACCCTTCCAGAGCTGAGATATCGAAATCAAAATTTCGACCGAAAAAAAAAAACAGTGTTACCCCTTACGTTTTTTTTTTGGGGGCGAAAAATTAAGTATCCCCAATCTTCTCAAAACTCTGGATTCTGATAGAGGGCCATGAGACTTAGACCTGAGTGCAACAATGGAGGCTCTAGACCCTTCCAGAGCTGAGATATCGAAAATCAAAATTTCGACCCGAAAAAAAAACGACAGTGTTACCCCTTACGTTTTTTTTTGGGGGCGAAAAATTAAGTATCCCCAATCTTCTCAAAACTCTGGATTCTGATAGAGGGCCATGAGACTTAGACCTGAGTGCAACAATGGAGGCTCTAGACCCTTCCAGAGCTGAGATATCGAAAATCAAAATTTCGACCCGAAAAAAAAACGACAGTGTTACCCCTTACGTTTTTTTTTTGGGCGAAAAATTAAGTATCCCTAATCTTCTCAAAACTCTGGATTCTGATAGAGGGCCATGAGACTTAGACCTGAGTGCAAAAATGGAGGCTCTAGACCCTTCCAGAGCTGAGATATCGAAAATCAAAATTTCGACCAGAAAAAAAAACGACAGTGTTACCCCTTACGTTTTTTTTTTGGGGCGAAAAATTAAGTATCCCCAATCTTCTCAAAACTCTGGATTCTGATAGAGGGCCATGAGACTTAGACCTGAGTGCAACAATGGAGGCTCTAGACCCTTCCAGAGCTGAGATATCGAAACTCAAAATTTCGACCCGAAAAAAAAAACGACAGTGTTACCCCTTACGTTTTTTTTTTTGGGCGAAAAATTAAGTATCCCCAATCTTCTCAAAACTCTGGATTCTGATAGAGGGCCATGAGACTTAGACCTGAGTGCAACAATGGAGGCTCTAGACCCTTCCAGAGCTGAGATATCGAAACTCAAAATTTCGACCCGAAAAAAAAACGACAGTGTTACCCCTTACGTTTTTTTTTTTGGGCGAAAAATTAAGTATCCCCAATCTTCTCAAAACTCTGGATTCTGATAGAGGGCCATGAGACTTAGACCTGAGTGCAACAATGGAGGCTCTAGACCCTTCCAGAGCTGAGATATCGAAAATCAAAATTTCGACCCGAAAAAAAAACGACAGTGTTACCCCTTACGTTTTTTTTTGGGCGAAAAATTAAGTATCCCCAATCTTCTCAAAACTCTGGATTCTGATAGAGGGCCATGAGACTTAGACCTGAGTGCAACAATGGAGGCTCTAGACCCTTCCAGAGCTGAGATATCGAAACTCAAAATTTCGACCTGAAAAAAAAACGACAGTGTTACCCCTTACGTTTTTTTTTTTTGGGCGAAAAATTAAGTATCCCCAATCTTCTCAAAACTCTGGATTCTGATAGAGGGCCATGAGACTTAGACCTGAGTGCAACAATGGAGGCTCTAGACCCTTCCAGAGCTGAGATATCGAAAATCAAAATTTCGACCCGAAAAAAAAACGACAGTGTTACCCCTTACGTTTTTTTTTTGGGCGAAAAATTAAGTATCCCCAATCTTCTCAAAACTCTGGATTCTGATAGAGGGCCATGAGACTTAGACCTGAGTGCAACAATGGAGGCTCTAGACCCTTCCAGAGCTGAGATATCGAAAATCAAAATTTCGACCCGAAAAAAAACGACAGTGTTACCCCTTACGTTTTTTTTGGGGGGCGAAAAATTAAGTATCCCCAATCTTCTCAAAACTCTGGATTCTGATAGAGGGCCATGAGACTTAGACCTGAGTGCAACAATGGAGGCTCTAGACCCTTCCAGAGCTGAGATATCGAAAATCAAAATTTCGACCCGAAAAAAAAACGACAGTGTTACCCCTTACGTTTTTTTTTGGGGGGCGAAAAATTAAGTGTATCCCCAATCTTCTCAAAACTCTGGATTCTGATAGAGGGCAATGAGACATAGACCTGAGTGCAACAATGGAGGCTTCTACGGCATCTGGCAGCTTCTCCTGGATAGGAATTCGGTCAGCTCACTGAAATGCAAGAACAGGCCCATGACGCGCTTTACGTCAATAACAGGACAAATACATACAAAGAGCCATAACTACTTGTATAGGTAGTTTATTTAAGTTCAAACCTATTTGACAACATATTACCACAAAAATAAGTAAATCAACAGACCACAGAGCAGACCTCGCTCGCTCGCTCGCACTCACTCTTTTTCTCTCGTGTTCACCCTCATCACTCTCTGCATAACGGTTTAAACAAACAACAACAATAAATAAATATTGTGTGCTGATCAAGAGTTTTGTGCAAGCAATTTAAGGTCGCGACGCTTGTCCCATAACGTTAGCTGGCTTCATTCGGTGATTGAAATAAATATTATTAACATTAATTCAAGTTTTGCAGTATAGAGAAACGATATTGAACGCTCCGAGCGAGCGAGCTTGTAACTTTTTCTTGGCATGAAACAGTAAATAACCAAACCAGTGGAACTTGAAGCCTGCAGTGCATGAAACTGTTAGCTAATCAAACCTATCATGCAATAACTAAGTTATACCCAGTCTATGGTTATACCAGGCAACAGCGCGCCGTGCCCAGTCGGAAAGCAGACAGCCGCGCTACCGCGGGGGTGTTTTTCCACATTCGAATATTCATTTTCAGTTTTTAAAACTTTTTGAATATATATTCGAATTTAGAATATTCTTTGACAGCCCTAAATGAGATTCGAGCTAGCTAGCCAATCCATCCAAACAGTGAAAGAACCATATTGACGTTAACGTTACTTCAGGCAGATTAAAATAGCATCAATTTGTGAAGAACAAGGTTGCAAATGTTAGCAATTACCAGTAACGTTACGTACCCGATTTCAATGGACTGATGGAAGAATAAATGTTATCTAATAAGCAGACGAAACTGTCATCCACTCAGATAACGAGAACTAATAACGTTTTATTTACGCTATAAAAATACATGTGTAACGGTAACAGTAAATTACATAAAGTGAAGATAACTTACCTTCGTCCCAGAATTGCTTCTTTTCCGTCTTCTTGAATGACGGCTTACTCCCAGAATGTACGTTTAGAACCGCCTAAAAATTCAAAATTCAGACCGCGAAGATCCCATGATGCAACGCTGTGGCTGTAAAACCATTGTAAAACTCCGTGAATACAGTGAAATTACAATAATAATACAGGACTGTCCATTCCCATGGTGCATTGCCTTTTACAGGTAAAACGCAAACACAATACATTGTTGTAAAATTTCCTGTAAAAATTACATCAATTGCTAACAGTGTACAAATTTAAAACCCAGTAAACATCTCCCTGTTGTATTTAACAACACTGAATAAAATACTCTGCTGATTTTAATAACGCTTGTCTGTCTCCACAATTACTTCTATTAATGTAACTTTCATTACAGATTAATGTAATATCACACAACCCAAGAATTTAACATTATTATTATGCGGAATGTTCTGTTAAAATAAACAGAATCCAGTGAAACATCTAATAAAATATTTAACTGGACTCAGTAACATTTTATGACTACCAATCTGAATTTTGACTCTAAAATATATTATTATTATTAGGACTTTCACAGTGCGTTGATTTTGCGATTAAATAAACTGCTCAATTCATATGGATTCATTTTACCATCTCTTTATGAACTTTTTGAAGAGTAAAAGTGGTAGCTGCGTAGTGCTTTTAAGGCAGCATCCATTTTTTTTTCTGTCATCCTTTGGCTGACCTACACTATATAATCACGCCATCATGTATTGAAGTGTTATTAAACCATTTAAGCATGATAAGATGCAAAAAAACCTCAAATATGTACTGGCATGGTGTCTGTGAAGCGGATCTCGGGGAACAAACAGAAAATGTGCGCATTGAATACCACTTCTCTTTCCTGCTTGAATGGACAAAAACATAAAATTGTTAAATTTCCTGTTTTGTCGAGGTCCCAGTAAGCACATTAAAGGAGTTTAAAAAAGTGTTAAATGAACATAAAGAGTTGTGATCTGTGTCAGTCATGCATGTCCGATTTTAAAGTGACAGCAGCCAAATAAACTTAAAGAACAAAAGACAAAGAGAAAAATCACTCATACAGTATATATATGAAGAGTTCAGATGCAAAAGCCTCTAAATGCCATTTGAAATTTTCTTCTAAAATGACAATTTTTATCAAGCTTGTATATTTAAGTTCAGTAATTTCACTTAAATGACAATTAATAGGTAATCTTCATTGCCATTTAAGTGAAATTACTGAACTTAAATATACAAAAATATACAAGCTTGATAAAAATTATCATTTTAGAAGAAAATTTCAAATGACACTTAGAGGCTTTTGCATCTGAACTCTTCATATATATATACAGTATATATATATATATATATATATATATATATATATATATTAAAATATCAATCAAGCTTTATTGTCTGTTAAGATGGACAGCATCAGCACTGTTCACACTGAACAGAACATTGTGAACAGCTCTAACATTTCCTTACTTAACATCCTCTTGCTCTATGGGAATTAATGTCATGTCTAATTAACTGATGTAATAAACAAACTACTGTTTAAATGTTAAACACCCTGGCACCTTTTCTGTTTGGAAAAAGCACTAAGGCCATGTGTCCACCAAAGCGTTTTTAGCCAGCTGAAAACGCCAGACTCTCTGCTGAAGACGCCATGCTTTGGCCGCTTGAGAGCGTTTTGTTGCTATGATACAGAATATCCGCCGCACAGTTTGAATGTTGTGACAGTTGGTCAGTGTGGTTTAGTCCCGCCCCTCCTCCACTGTGATTGGACAGTTGGGTAAAAAGTGACAGTGATGAGTGCTGCGTTTTATCCAAAGTTGAACATTTTTCAACTCTCGGCGACCAGTAAAAAACGCCGGGTGCTCGGCGCTTCAGCGTGAAAAAAAAACGCTCAGCGCCTCGTTACGCTCATGGCGTTTAAAAAACGCGGCGCTCCCATTGAAAACAATTGAAAACATACGCCAGGCGCATGGAAAAACGCTTTGGTGGACACACGGCCTAAGTGCCAACCACAAATCCTGATGAATATCACTGTGCTTTATGAAGTAAAACATTCATTTGAATACTATCTCACATGATGGTAATCAGCTTCTGCTGAATTTAAACATCTAATAAACTCTCTCTGCATGTGTTTGCAACACATTCTCATCCCATGACGTCAACAACGTCAGTTAAATGACGATCCTAGGGCTTTACCTTTAGCATCAGTTAGATGACACAGGTAGGTTTACGTCTGGGGTAGGGTTAGGATTAGATAGCGTCATCTAACTGACGTTAAAGGGTACCCTAAAATGTCGGATGTTGACGTATGGTCAAAAGTGTCAGTTAGATGACGTCTTGGGATGAGAACGGGCTGGTGTTTTGAGAAATGGAAAACGTCCTCCTGGTATCGAACACAGATCACTTCAGAACTTGATAGGAGGCCTGGATACTGGCTAGCATCTTATGAAACAACACATCCTAAAATTGTCTCTGCACATTGAACTAGGAGGAGAAAGGTTTTTTTTTATTTAAATCACAAAAATGACACAAGAGTTAAAACCTGAGTTTCTTTTTAATTTCCATTAAAAGGCGCTCATGCAATAGAGTCAATTCAGAAGAAAAGAAAACAAAGCATCTAGAGGCAGTGTTTCGAAAAAATTGGTGCAAAGGTGATTGCATGCATGATTTGAGAATAACAGTCAGTGGTTCATTTAGCAGACAAACAGTGGTGGTACCTGTCTTTTGCCAGCATTAGATGTTTGGTGTGGTAGTCCTGGGAATCGCATTAACCTGTTTTCAGTGGCAGACAGAGCACAACAATTCACAGCAAATAGATTAGAGCTGCTATCCATCTTTCCCACAAAGCACTGGCCATGTTCAGCTTCAAAATGTGTTAATCTGTCTTTGTTTGCTAAGCTGTCCCGTCGTGCACCCCGCTCCATGCCAAAGAGTGTTCGGCTTACTTTAATACCCGCGCAGCCATGAAACAAACGATTGTTTTTTTTTTTTTTCTGGCATCGGGACTTAGCTGATTTCAGTGGATAAACAATCCTACAGTTGAGGGCTTGTAGTAATGCCCTGCACTTCAGATGAATGACGTCAGACTTCCTGACAAAGAGTGATGCAACTCCATTGTGGTTATGAATTGTGAAAGATAAAAGACATTTATGCTGTGTATATTTATGCGAGTTACCTTTTGTTGATGATGGCAGAGCTGGCAAAAACAATACAAATGAAGGGTAGTTTTCAATACACATTACACAGCCCTCTCTCTCTATTTGTCATATACTGTAACAGTGATTTTCCCCTCTTTTTCTTTCCCTGTTTCTCTTCATATCTCTCCACTGAATTACATCACAAACACTGGAAGGATAAAAGAAAGCCCAGAAAACACAAACAATTTTTGATACGTTTCAGTAAAAACCAATTTGACCATCAGTTTTCACCCTTTCCCCACTGATGACCAACAAAGAGATGGATTATCTGTTTCTACACAAGATATGTTAGTCTTTCTGTTTAAAAGTTGTCCACTCATAAGTCTGTATTGTTATATGACGTTGGTTTATTATAAAATGTGATTGCCTATCTTCCCATTATCTCTTTTTTTATTGCTAGTTTCTCAACTTGACAGGCAGCTTACAGCTTTAATGAACATCAGATGCAGAAGTAAAGTTCAGTCTTTTCTATATCTATAAGTCGTTCTATATCTTTCAACATACCTTCTGATGTTCATTCATGCTTATTTTCTACTTTAACTAATAGTAAAGGGAAGAGATGATCAGTTCACATGCGCTCTGCGCTGCGCTTCACTTGAACGACAGCGATTTGTCATGCCTCATTCATCAAAATTTGAATCGATTAAAATGATCTTGAAAGCAGCGAGTATAGAATGGCATTTTGACAATTGATAGTTCACCGAAAATGGCCAAGCTGGCGTATCAAAAAGACCACTCACTTTCACTGTACAGACAAAAACATTCTTCAAAACCTCTTTTATGTTCCTCCAAAGAGAGAAAAACTGGTTTGGAATGAGAGGGTGAATAAATGATGGCAGAATCGATAATTTTTGGTGAACTATCCCTTTGCAACTGTGCACTACTAAACTTAATTTGACAAATCTTGTTCTGGCTCTTCTAACATTTCACAAATAACTTTATAGCCTACCACACAATTTGGGCAATGAAACTCAAGTGGTGCTGAAGTATTTGGGGAATGTGTTTGGCTCATGCACCTGCGCCGGGAGCTCACAGTGGATTACAGTGTTCCTAGAAATCCCCTGCTGATTGTGTATGGAATTTAATAACTGAATAGGTGACTCATTTATCTGTGAAAAAGAGCAAAGCATCATATTTCCTTAGTTGTTGTGGCATGAAAGGAAGATAAAAAAGCTTTTGCAAACAAAGAAACCTAAGGCAGCTTAAAAATTACTGATTTTACAGCTGCTGTACAACTGGACTGATTGAGTGCCTAAGCGAGATAAGTATGTGTACATGACTTGGAGAAAGAGAGATAGTGAACATGCAAACGACAACTAACAGATCAATCCAAGTGAGCTTTAATGTCTGCATGGTAAACTTTCCTCTCAAATGATAAGTTTAATAGTTGATACAGAGCATGTACAAGAAATGTTTATTGCCTGTCATACAATAACAGTTTATTGGCCTAATTGTGCGATTAAAAAAAGCTGTTAAAAAATGCAAAGCTTGTATTCTCCTTATATTAGTTTATGTCTTGTATATTTTGAACAAAGATGTTTGCGAATAACCTTATCAAGAAAACTTATTGGACCTTCTGTATAATACATATCATTAAGTGAATGCAGTCACTTGACAAGTTAACATATTTGTGTGTGATGATATAGTTCGAATGAAAACATTGCTTAAAGGGTTCACTTTCAAATGAAAATTAGCCCATGATTTACTCACCATCAAGTCATCCTATGTGTATAGGACTTTCTTCTTTCAGACGAATACAATCTGAGTTATATTAAAAGTATCCTGGCTCTGCCAAGCTTTATAATGGCAATAGATTGCAACCAAACCGATTGAAGCTCAAAAACG